ATTTAACCGTTTTATTGCTTTTGTTTTATAACTGTCGCCGAGAGAGCGAAAAGTAGGACAATTTGTTCGGGTGAATAGTAATGAATTGTAGCATCCATCATTCATTGAAAAAATTAATTTCTAACAGCTGAAAAAACGAGCATATTATTTCGTAATAGCCTAGCTAGGAAATTATGCAAATTGTCGTTTGTTGGCTGGTTGGTTCCTGTGAATTTCACTTAAACGCTTCAATTCGCTAATCTCACTTTGATGCTCGCGTCAACTCAAAATTTCTCACATATTTAATTAATGTAGTAATTGATTAGGAAATGTTATTAAAACCGTACCGCACACAAATCAGTTAAGAAAAGCTGCTTAGTCAATCTACGACCATAATTTATTCCGCAACATAACATCCTTGCTTTTATGACATAGAGAAAATGAATTCAATTTAGCTTTAGAAAAGTTTTGTACTGTTGTATCCATGGTTGTAAGGTTACTTGTGAACAGCCACTGAAAGAAAAGTACCCAGCAACAAGTGACTTTCAACACTCCATTTATGCCTATCACATGGTCTACCTCGCTTCGTTCGATGCAATGCTACCAATGGGCAAGAAAATTATGAAAGAAGACTTAACGAAAAGAGGTTAACATCAATCTGTCCGTTGAATTCAATGGACATGAACGAGTATTGAAGAAACATTCGCAAGTAGAATAATTAAATAAAAGCCAAATTTTGAAAGAACATTCGAACTGATACAACCAAATTGTTTGCTGTCAAACTTTGTCTCACTCACACCTACTGTCACACTGACTCGTTCGTGTACGAATTGCTGTTAACGTTAAAGTAAACTGAGTTTAGATGTTCTTTACCAAAAATTATATTAAAAGATGTTTGCCAATTTTTGGAGCTGGATGGTAACAAATCTATATCAGAACTTTTCAATTTCAATTCCAATGCAACATTTCGATGGTGATGATGCCTGTCGATATAGCTCGTTTGACGCGCTACCCGCTTCATATTCGCTCCAATTCTCTCTATGCTGTATTGAACATGTACGCCGCTGTGCGTGCATATATACACGGTGAACTAAAATACAAAATTGATTTGAATACGATGCATATATCGACTTTGAAATCCATTATGGGCGAATTTTTGTTGTTGATATTTTTGATGAATTGTTTCCAAAACATTTTATCCATGAAATTAACATTTTCAACGAGCGTATAATTTCTTTATTTATCGTTGTGGCAGGAAATCATGCAAATGGTTGTTTTGTGGATTTTAAACGATTCGATTAGCAAATCCAACTTTGATCCTCATATCGACTCAAATTTTCGCACACATTTTAATAATCCAGTAACTGGTTGCGAAATGTTCAACCATTATTAAAACCTTTAAGTCAAACCAAAAAATTTGAGAAAAACTGCTTAGTCAGCCTACGTCGATTTATTTTTATGCGGAAACATGACATATGCTTTGGTGAACAAACCACTGAGTGAAGGAAATGAATTGAGAGTCTGTAAAAAGTTGTATCAGGTTGTAGGGTCACCTATGAACAGGCAGTAAAATAAAATTGCCAAGCAACAAGAGACATTCACCGACTTACCTCTCTCTGTGTATTAAACAACTTGCCTCCTTTCATTTGTGTCGATGCTACCTACTAAAAAGGCTTGGAAAAGAGAAAAGATCGTTCAATCAACAAAGATTGAATGAAAATTCATAGATGAAATCATTAAAAGCCAAATTGTATACATTTAACAAATATTAAAATATGTTTATTACAATTATTTTCATCAGAGTTCCATTAGAATCTATGACAAGCTATTATTAATTGGTTTGTTTTCAATTTCTATCACTAAGTAATAAACTACTTGGTTTGTTTTGTATCATTTTCAGGTGACTTAATTCAATTCGTCCATTTTGAAACATTCGAACTGCAGACGAAATAATATTCGATACAAGTGCGAAATTCCAAATGTTTCGTTGTCTACATCCAAAGTTTTTTAATTGTGTGGTATTCGTTATCTGACTGAAACTACAGTTCATTTAAAGCACAAACAAAAACACCAACTCCGCTTTGCATTACTTCAAAACACTAAAAATAAAACACATCGTTCAATATTATTTATACTTGATGCACGAATTGCTCAAATGATCTTGATTTTCGTTTAGATTTGTCGAGAGTGAAAACTTTGGTTGCATTTTAGCAATGCCATTTGAGAAAACGTGATGTGTTCACATAATTTTAGTCAAATCGATAAATTGGTACACATAAGACCATATATGGTATATATACGAAATATTTTAATATAAACATTACCACTTCGGCCACCATTCACAAGTATCAAACACATCGAATGTGATTCGGATAGTTTTTTTTTTCTCAACATGTTCATGTTGCTTGAAACGGCGGTGGCAGATGTTGTTCTATGTTTATACTAATCTTAAGCGACTAATGAAACCGTTTAGAGTTAGAACGATAGAAAGGTGTTTTTGATTGTCTTTTGAAATGTGACAGGTAATGCGTTAAATTGTTGATTATGATTATTTATTGGAACATTAATTATTGAATATGTTTTGAGACCACATTGATAAAACATTGAATTTTACATTTATGCATTTCATTTTTCCACTTTTTAGTTGAATAATAGTTTGATGTGTGTCTATGTGTATGTTGTGTTTGTATCTATTTCAATTTGGTTTTTGAATTGTTAAATGCCGTGGACGAATTGTATTCAAACCATTTCTACTCGAATATATCAAAAAACGATATCTAACAAGCACTTGTTGCTAACTACGACTCTCCTTAATCGAAATTTATTAATTTAATAAATTCATTAATGTTTCATATCCAACATATCATATTCAGTTGGTTCTTCGTGTGTGTTTTTTTTTTCTATAAAAAAATTGGCTTAACAAAATCTATGTATCAAATGACAATTGAAAATGTTCGGTTGTTTTCCGTTTTGAAGCAAAAAGAAAAACAATTCCTTTTCATCTTCAAAAACAACACTTTTGCACCGAACTTCTAATGTCCTAAAAACAACTAAAAATTTTCATGTATTCGAAAGAATTTTCGTTTTAATTTAATATCTAAAAAAAAGGTTCAATTTTTATTTCACAGCCATTTCTTTCTCTCATGAAAGAACAGAAGCCGAAACCTTATTTGTTTTGAGCACAAAATGTGTGATAATTCTCTCCCTCTCTCTTTTGTTTTTCAACAACAGTGTGATGCTTAGACCCAAGTATGAACTATGAAGTGATGTGTAAATTCTTTATGGTTGTTTCATGACAAATTTCTTTGAATGTTGCGCTCTGTGTGTATCAATGTGTGTCTATTCAATCAAACCATGGCAACGCTTTCGAGCACAGTCAAAATAAAGAAAAAATGGTAATAAAATCTAGGACGATGAACGCGGAAAATCCGATACGGCGACAGTGCGACCGGATGATATGCAATTTGTGTCACAAAATGAAACACATTCATCGGCATTTCAACATTCTTTCATCGTGGAATTTATTGACCCAATCATATTTTGTTTAATGTTTGTGCTTTTGCCCGTGCAGTGTGTGCGTTGTCAGTTCAACGAAGCAAACGATCTGACTTGATATCTGGTTACTCAATTACGGGGAAGTGACTACGACGCCAAAAACCGCTTCGTATTCCGTGTGTTTCACAAAAGTGCTGGCCACAGGCGAGAATCATTTATTATTATTTTGCCAAATTATGAAAATGATGAATCAGGAAAAAAATCGTAAAGTCACTTTTCAAAGGGAAACAAACAAAAATCGTAGCTCGATCGCCACTTAAAGTGGTTTTAACGAGATATATTTTACACAGGAAAACAAAAAAAAACCCGAAATTCCTGATTCTCAATGTAGCGCATCGCTGTTTTTTCTCGATGGCAGTTATTGCGCTTATTCATAAATCGCATATTATGCTCTTATACAGCAAACACGCCTCGATTGATTGGCGCCGCGACGTAGTCTATTTTACACAGCATTTTTGTCACGGATTCCGGCGCGCTGTTTTGCTCTAGCATCGCGCATTCTCTAATCGCTTCTCTCTGTCATAATTCGAGAACCGAAATTCCACTTAATAGGATGCCGCTTATTGTACACGGCTTGCGTCGCTCTCAAAACTCATTTGGTGGCAAACAAAAAAGTATAAATATCCATCGTGAAACATGAACACACATCAAGTGTGATCCGTGCGAGGCCAATAAAGCAGACATACACTCAGAACAAAATAGAAAATAAACGAAAAATAGAAACGACGTTTGGTATGAATGTTCTTTGTAGACTCTTGAATGCGTTTAAACAAATGACCGTATTTTCAAACGAGAAAAAATAGCGAAAGAGATAGCACGAAAGCAAACGAAAAAAAAACGAATTCCACTGATGAAATTGGGTGCGTTTGCGGTTAATGCTCGTGCTCTAAAAACATAATTTGAATATTCAACTATGGGATTTGCATGTGCCTCTTTTGTTACTATTTTCACAAATTTCACATTCGGAGCACGCACAATTTTTCAAATAATTTGCATTGCAAGCGAGTCTCGGCGAAAGAGAGTAACGAGTCAGTCACGCCAAACCATTTGCCAAGAAAATGTGATCCATCACTTAGTACGCTACAAATCCGCACATAATGCTTCAACAAATGCAAACTCGATTGCGTTGCACATTTCTTACAAATTGCTGAATAAAACACGTTGCACATAAACACTTGTGTGACTAAGAAATTTGTTTACGAAACCCCAAAATGTGGAAGGGAGGAGGAGAGAAGGAGAGAGAGAGATTCGATGTACAAAAAATTAAATTATCACTTATTATCTACAACAATAGGCCGATGCTCACATGTTTTGAAAACGTTTTTGGCTGAGATGTATTTATTAGCAGCCGCTGTTGCTGCTGCTGCTGTTAACATACACAGACTTGTGTCGCGATGTGTGCACAACCGAACACCGGGTAAACGGGTTGAAAGCTTTTTGTTTGTTCAAGCACAGAAAATGTGTTACCATTCGCGAAATTCGCTAAGATCCATTGACTCCAAATCTTCGTGCTCAAGCTCTGCCGCAGACAAGAAGGTTATTGTGCACATACAGACAGACAGAGAGTGAGAGTTACATTCATCCAACATGGCATCCAACATGGATGACAATCACAAAACGGATTCGATTTATTTGCCGCATTCCGTTGCATTCGGTAGTGGTCATAGTGAAGCTGTCGCAATGAATCCTTGGCGTCGTTTCAGTACCCGTGTTTTATGTAGTTCACCTTTACAGCAAGGTACCATTGTGCCGCTAGTTTGTGCCGTTGCTTTTGTGTCGTTTGTTCCAATCAGTGTACCTAAGAGAGAGAGAGATGGAGAGAATGAGAAAAAATTCGAAACGATCAGAAAAAAATGATATATAGACATTTACGAGAAGAGAATATAAATGAGCACAAATTGATGGATTTGTAATACAGAGAGCGAGAGTGAATATGATACTGTCGAGTTGAGAGTGCTAATAAATTGAAGGGAAAGTTCAATAACATCGCATCGATTACTCGTCGTTTTATTTTCAATGACCAATGTGTCGAAAGATATGGCGGTTGAATCATTAAAATCTTGCTTTCGCAATCTTGCTTTTCGCCTCGATGGGCATTTTGTTTGTGGATCTACAACTCATAAAATATATGCTACGTGTAGTATAGGGCGCGCGAATCCTTGAGAAAACATTGTGCTGGTTACAGTCCGTAGAAAACACAATGAGTAAAATAGAGCCATGCAAAACAAATAAAATATAGAAATTTTTTGTGGGAAAACACGTGAATGAGTGAATGAATCACACGAATTCGAATGATTTATACGAGTGTCTGCCTCTCCGACGAAAAGTCACTTCATTTGACTTGTCAACATTTCAATGCTACTCACTTTAATCAAAACGATTCTTTGTTTTTTGATGAGTAGCCGCCAATCGAAATGGCCAATAAGCACATAAAAAAGAGTGAGTTAAGCGCGCGCTCGCATGCGGGGAACGGCATCAAACGCTGACAGAAATTAGGAACATTGCCGTTGCGAGGCGTGAAAAAACAAAACAATTTGCGAATTCATTTTGTTTCCATGGTCAAAAATCAATAACCTGATTCTTCTTCGTTTTTTTTTTTTACTCAATCATTCGATGAAATGTGTTTTGCTTAGGGACATATGGTATGATTTCGTCTCGCTCTCGTTGTTTCACGACTTATTTCGAACGCATTTAATTAGTGTTCAATGTGATGAGAACGGCCAACTTTCTTACGGCCACAGCAAATTGATTTTGCTCGTGGTTTTTGTTTTTCTTTCGGCAGTTTTGAATCAGAAATATTTTACTACCATTTGCTACTACAACCATAAAAAATCCAAATAAAAACGAAACAAAGAACATAAAGTTTTGGCTGTGCGCCAACTGCAATTTACAACCTATTAGACATATGAGTCATCGATCGCATGAAAGCGATGCTGTGTGAATAACAATTCAATTTTTTTTCTCTTCATTCGTTTTTCGGGAAAAAAAATTCAGTCGTAGTATTTCGCGTAGACGGAAACGACATCGACCACATTGCCTCTCTCAAAGGCAATTTGAAATGCCAGTACGCAAACATCAATTAGGGGAATACATGCAATAGAAAAAGAGAGTAATTGTTAAATGGCTTACCTATCATTTTACTGACGGAAAATTTCCGTTGCTGTTTAACCGGTCGCCCTTTTGAGTCGTTCAGCAGACGTTCGAATGCTTTGTATAGACTGGGTGTGTTGTCGGCGACGGAAACCTCACAAAAGCCAATATGATGCGAAGCAGCCAGTGATGCACCTTCACTCTCGCTCACCTGTCACAACAAAGAAATTCACAATATTAATATTATTCAAACATTCAACGTTCGCACGATTAATCATTGAAAAGACCGAGAGCGACAAAGAGTAATAATTCGTCAAACACAGAAAATACTAGAAAATTCGTCATCTCAAGCCGATGAGCGTTGACATTATATATTCGTCGCATCCTAAATCGAATGTTGCCAAATGTGTGGCGCACATTCTTGATTCTCGATGTTCTGTGTGTTGGTTGTTGTGCTTTGTTACTTTTATTTGAGTTCATTAAACTAATTAGAGACAGATTCAAAGAGGCATCCCACCGAAACAAACGAAGTGCTCATTTTCGAAAATTATTGGCAAACAAGCCATAGCCAGAACTTTCGACATTATTCAAACGCACCGAATTGTAAAGTGGTGAAGAGCGAATGCGCGGTGTGTGCGCGCAACGGCATTTTTCGTCGGGCAATCTAATTTCTCAAAGCGATTAAATGCCACAGAGCATTCATCATGCCCGAAATGAGATCTATTGCATACGTTCACAGTTGTTTGGGGCATTGTGTGTGTCTGCGTAGTATATTACGGTATATATATATATATATATTCATCATTATCAGTTTGTGTATACAAACGAGCGCTAATTTCGCAATTTTCAAACGGCACAAGTACACTCATTAATGCAAGCGTTGAGTTCACAATGGGGATTATTCATTAAATTTTATGGCAAATCTGTTTGAATGTTGTGTTGACTTTCGATGCAAATTATAGCTTTGCTTTTATAAACGCTACCGATATATTCAGCGAGGAACACACAACTTTGCCGCGCAAAATACACTTTCACTCGCCCAGTTGTGTGTACACAAACGATGAATCAAAACGCGAAATCTTTTGCACAAAAAGATATGAGCGAGTGAAATAAGTTGCGTTGTTTATGTGTGTTTTCTTTTCACTGACATTTTCAATGCTGCTAACAGAGCGGTCGGTTTTTTTTTGCTCGCCGCTTTCACCTGTGCATTTTAGCGGTTATTTTATGGGCTGTAGGTGGGAAGTGAGTATAAATTATGCTAGATCACGGTTGCACCAAGCTATTTTCCAACAATAATAATTCAATCTTCAAAAAATCGCGATTTGAACTCATTAACATGCCGAGGATTCATGCCTTACAAACTACAAACTACTGTGGAATTTCGAGCCACATTTCAATCGAGAATAAGCATAACTTGGCGCTGAATTAACGCACGTTGAAAAAAAAACACACGAATACTTGAACTCGACGAATTCCAGTCACTCTAATTTCAAAGACAGATGAAAAAATAGAAGAGCATCACTTACCTCTCTTAAATGATCTAAATCAGCTTTGTTTGCAATCAAATAGGCAGATGGTCCGTTTTGTAATGATTTGAGGTTGCCCAATGCTCTGGTTGCATATTTAAAACTTTCACGGTCTGTAATACTGTATACGATCAGACATGAGTCAGCCCATTGAATCTGTTCAATGGGAAATTCATTGTCTGTTTCGGCCGATACGTCGACGATTTCCACATCGAGCATGCCACTATCTAGTGAAATCGTCTGGCGATACAGCAAATCGGTTTTCGATCGATATTCACCAATGTAGCGTCGCGTCAAATAACGCACGGTTAATGCTGTAATTGGGCAAGAAAATGAAAGTAAATTAATTGATTAGGCAGAGATCAAAACGAAAAGTTTTTTGGGAAGGCAAAATCGATACTCAAAAAATAGGAAACGAAAAATGATTTGGAAATTTCATGCAATTGATACTTGAATTTTTTTTGTTGAAAGAATTTAACAACAACTTACCCGATTTGCCAACATTAACATTTCCTAAAACTGCAATCCGCACGCGCTGTAGTGGATTCTTATCTTCTGCTTTCATTGTGATCTGGAATGTGAATAATAGAACGAATTCGTAATTAGAAATGAATGCTAGCACTGAGGAGTCTCGTGTCGTTGTTATCTCTGAATAATAACGCAATACTAAATATTTCAGTCGAGAAAGACTTTTATCACAAACAAAATAACTCGGCAAAATTTATGGCCGATAGCTCGTGGTGTGACAAGCGTGCGAAATAATAATAATAACACGAAAAATGCGCGACGGTGTTGGCAAACGATTTGCGGTGCAAAATACTTTTGGCTAAACGGACTTAACATACATTTCGACTGGTGGCGGTGGTGTCGTCTGTATAATTCACGCTTCGCTTGACTTGCACTTTGCGCCGCACTCATTCATTTTGGATTAAAAGTTTTCTTTAATATAAACAGCTCATTAAAAAATTGTACAGCACAATGCCAAAATGAAATAGGCGAAAGTGTCAAAATAAAATTCCTACGGTTTTATGGAGTCAGCGATGACGATATGACAACAACAACAGCAACGAAATGACGGCGGAATGTGTACCGCTAGGCATATTTTCTTTTTTTGCTGGTGTTGTTGTTGATAAATGCCGGCCACAGAGATGGAATTTACCACACGCTTCCGATATGAGCTAGTAAGTCACACTGATTCCAAAGATATAGTATATTAAATCAAGCGCGTCGAGCCGCCACTTGGATTACATTATGAATGTACCGATGAGATGCACCAGCCGCTCGCAATATCTTATCATTGAGCGCGATTGTGTGCGTAATGGAATGCATGAGCTGTTTATTTACATGACGATAGCAACAAAATAGAGAGAAGAACAAAATGACAACAGAATGTTCACACACACTTACACCCGCATATCGCTGGCAATATGAGGATTTTACGATAGAGCCGAGTGAAAATGTGTATTGCACTGTATTTGGCGCCATATCATTTTTATTTTGATGCAATGTTTCGTCTTTCGCAGCTATTTTTGATCTTATTCGCTTTATTGTCTCTCGCTTGCGCTAGTGCGTGCGCTCGCTCGCTCATAAACATCGCATAAGTTCTTTTAATCTCGTTCACTCTTTAGTGCGTGTCGTTTTAATGAAATCACTTTATTTACACTTTTTTTTGTTTCTGTTTCTGTTGCCGTTGTTGTTGTTGTTGTTGCCATGTCAACTTAGGCGATACTCGTTCACTCGCTCCTTCTTTCTCTCCCGCTCTCGCTCTCGCTCCGTGTCCCTGTTTGAATCCAATAAATTCCATTCCGTTCATTTTTCCGCTCGACCTTTTTTCTGGTACTCTCTGCACAGGACGAAACGTTTTATGAGAGGATGTATTGAGTGCATTTTTGGTTCGGTTTCATCTTTCGGAATTAGTTTACTTAATCCATTGCGTTCGCATTAGTCAGATGTTAACAAACATGACAACTGCGATTAATTACAAAATCGAAACACAAACCGAGACGCTAGTGCACACTGCACAGTGCACACTGACCAATGCATCCGTTTCTTCGAAAAGTCATCGAATGCGCCACAAATTAGTGCTAATTGCATTTTTTATAGACGATAGTTGTTGCTATCAAGTTTCTACCGATTGGAAAAGTTTTCCACTTTGGCATTGCTTTTTTTGTTTCCTTTCCCTTAGTTCACGACTTGAATTTCAAGTGAAAAAATAATGTCGTTCGGACGATCATACGACTCAACTTATAATTGTTTGAATAAATTTGCTCGTAATTTTCTCGACTAGATAAATGGATGCGATGAGATTCCTTTACTCTTTTAATACATGGGATAGCTTTCAATCAACGCGCGTGTCTTGTTTAATTTAAATACGTTAGCACGTTCTCGCTGCCAAAAAACTAAATAATACAAATGAAAAGCATCAAATTACAATATGAGCCGCGCCTGTGATTTGGTACAATTGACCGCAACAAATTCATCTAATTTCCGCATGTTTCCGCGCCATTCCTATGACTCATGCGTGAGAAAGTGTGCTAAAGACGGGCAAAACTGTAACAACGACACCATATTGCGGCCATTGTAGAATAGTCATAAATAAACACACGTTCAGGTCTTCATTTTTTCCTGGCGTTTCATTTTATTTTGTAACAAAAACGTGCTACACTATGCGTGAAGTCAATGAATCGAACGAAGCATGTTTGCTTTATTACGACGAATATTTTTATCATCGAATCGAAACAACGCCATATAGAAGCACCAACACACACACATTCCGTGTGTTTTTGCTCATACGATAAATCGGGGAGTTAGATGAACGGACGAATAGCGCACACACGCACGGCTCACTCGCATTCTTGCCCATAAATTGTAAACAATGTGTCACTTGCTTTATTTTGAGTGTTCGGTTGTGTTTTGTTAAAATTAAAAGTCGATTTTTCACTTTGAATCTTTTGTTGTGTGTAGTATCATTTAGTGTGTTCTATATGGTTTTTTTCGGCGTGTCAGTCGTGTGTGTGTGTGTTTCTGTCGTGGATTCAGGCGGAATGTGAACCATCACTCGGTCATTTATCAGGATAAGATACACATGTTCGGAATGAATGCTTGAATACACACACACGCCGAGCGCGAACTCATCGGAATGGCTTATTTATTAGTCATTCATTATGATGAGAAAGGCAAAGGCAGTGATCGAAGCCCTTTTTTTCGTTCAGCCGCACCGAGTACAATATGAAGTGAATGCTCTCACGTCGGCGACGAAGACGACGATATCGGTTTGAGATTCAATGAAAATTCTAGACGTTGGCTTGATATTTTCGACGAGTGTCTCCTGCTCTCTTCTGCACATTTCAAGCATTTCAATCGATTGTCAAGGAGCGTTAAAGACAATCATTCAGCGCGTATAATTGGTAGAAATACAACATCTCATGGCTCAATAAGAAATGTACGTGGTTCGTTCCAGAAGAAAATTGCACAGATAGTTTTCTGAAGTGTGACTTGGTTGGAAAAGGTTCATGCCCCAAACCGAAATGGTAACGGGCTACAAAATTCTATGTTGAATTGATTAGAAATGATCGTGACCGAAGGCATCGTCTTTCGTTCAACACACGTGCCGCACACACACACACACACCTTTCCACCGGTTTTCCGTGCCGTTGTGTAAAATGGTGCTAGTTCGGCATGTGCACCACTTTAAATTCCATGTTCAATCGTACGGCGCCGGATGAAAATTACCATGTCAAATCGACAGAGTTCCGATCGAATTCGATTGAACACCGCTTTTCGATTGCCCAATGACTCGTAATATTTTATCCGATGCTAGGAATCAAACGACTATTGCCGAGATATCAAGTGTGCTACCTATAAATGGCACACTGGCCCAATTCATGGTACACCGGCCCAGCCCTAATATTAATGATGTGATTTCTGCTCAATTTATAGTCGATTGAATCGAACGCGTGTGTGTTGAATGTGTTGGATGGCTTGAGCAAACACACGGTGCCATTTACCGAATAGAACGTACGAAAGAATTTCATCTTAATAAATAGATAAGACACATGGCATTAAATTGCATTGGCTACAAAGTAGGACGAAAGGTGAGCGCGTGTCGAACATAAAAACCTAGCACCTTTTGTGTAGATGGAGTTGAGCTTTGTCTCATAGCAGTCTAATAAAAACTGTACCAGAAAATTCGAATGGAGCTTAAGCAACAAAAAAAACTTCGTTTGATGACTTTGATTTCCGTCGGTAATTTTTGACACGTTTTATCCATCAAACGAATTGATTACAAAATAATCACATTTTGGCTCTCCCACCAATAGGCGAGGAGAAAAAAATCACTGGAATTAGAATCAAGAATGACTTTATTAGATTAAATAAGTTCCACTTTTCATTGAACCTTTTTTTTTGCTACATCCTTTCGAAAATAGATGGGTTTCCCTTTTCAAATCAGTTTGTACGAGCCATTTTTCCACTCCAAATTTGTTCGACACTCTTAATGGAATTGACAGATTGCGATACGAACAGTGCATTGAACCCGTTCTTCGCATTCATTTTGCCGATGGATTGTTCGAGACTTTTTTTCTTTCCTCGTTACCTTTTGACATGCGATGCGATTCATGGAAATTTCAGTATTTCTGTGAGATGAAAATCAACAAGTGAGGTGTAAATCAAATCACATCGACACCAAACTGCTCTACTTGAGTTTATTCATAGAAATATCAGAATTTCCCATGCGATAGAATCATTCGAATTGACAGGGCACATGAAATGCTTTTTCTTTCTCGGCTTGCCACTATCTCGGAGTAACGGTTCTGTGGAAAATTATTATCTTTCATCGAAATCCGATCGCACGTCACATTTCACATTTCAAAGGAATGGCATATTTTTCTTCGGTCTATGCTGAATCTTTTTCTAATCCAAATAAATATCAACTATGGTTAATGTATGCTTTTGATCGTATATTTTCTACCATAAACTTTTGGGTTTCAAGTGTATAATTGAAATGTCGCCCATCATTATATTCTATCACGGTGAATTGAATCATTAATTTCGTCAAATCAATGATGAAAAAGAAGCGTTGACTAATGACGTATATTCCGAAAGACGTTCTTCTTAAGACGGTTAAAATCCGAATGCATTCAGTTTCTATTTGCCATCCCTCTAAATAACTTGAACGTATTGCTTGCGTTTGTTTTGTCAAGTCGCATTTTATCGGCTGTGTTACTAAGTCGACATTTTCGCATCCCACAAAAGTTTTGTATAGCTGTGCTGTCTTTATGAAAGAGCCAAACTCAAGTGAAAAGACGGAAGAAGGAAATTGTTTCGTTCGCTGTGTATTGAAAATGCCGCAAAGTGTAAATAGGAATAATACAAAACCGCCTTCATTTCATTGTAGGCGAGTTGTGTGTGTGCTTCTTTTTGAACTTCTCGTCATAATTGGAGCTATTCTCAAGTTTCTGCACTTTAAGCGTAGCATTCTCCGAATGGCAAATGTTTGCAATTGTCCTTAATGTCACTCTGCATCATATTTGATTTAACAATCGAACAAATGGTTGGAAAACCGTTCTTATT